CCACCGGAAAATGGTGGCAGTGAGAGCATAGTAAAAATGTCAGTTTTAATTAAATTTCCATAGCAACCATGTTTGAGTTCAACACTCGCACCTTTTACTTTTTTTTTTTTTTACCTCTGCTGTCACCTTTGCCACTTACTGAAGCTGATTAAAATATTTACATCCTCTTTTGCCTTAAAAACCAATCCACCACCCCCTACGAGTAAATGTTTCCGTTCACTGTTTATGCATTTCGGCTGCGGTTCTTTGTTTCGTTTTTTTTTCCTTTTTTCGATAATTTATGAAAAATGTTTATCAAAAAATTATTAATAATAATAAACATCTACAAAACGTTCAATTATTTTAACAATATATTTACTTGAGTGGTTATATTCATGATCCTCTCTGTTCGGGTTATGCTTGACTTCAATTATTGAGAACAACGTGAAATTTTCTAATAATTCTAACTGTAAAATATAAAATTTATTTATTTGTACTGCTTGCTAATATAATAATTCTAATCAGTTCCAATTTTAATATCAAGGCATCCAGAGATTTTACTTTTTATTCACTTTGCAAATGATTTTTCCTTTCACATGTCTCGCTTATAAAATACTTTAACGTGACAAGATAACAGTGAAAGAAAACACTTAAAAGGAGTATAGTGGGAGGGGGTCATTCATTAAATATCCTACACTAATTCGCTTAATACAGTTATTGGTATAACGACTTTTCAAAATAAGTTATGTTATATGGGCATTGATTGAAAAAGTGCTGCGGCTTCAACCATTTTCAATAGCATTCTCAAAATGCTTGAGAAAAAAAAAAAAAAAAACAAGACAACTGCACCCTAATCGAAACTTTTCATGGACGTCATCGAGGAGCATGTCTTAGAAACGATAGTCACAACGCCAGCCCCAGTCGTCGCAATTGCTTTTGTAAAACTGATTAGAACGCCTTCCGCGCATAATTAGAAATCTGAATTCCTCTGACTGGATCGCAACTGCTATTGAAATTAAATTCGTAGCGCTGAATGGTGAATCTTGGGATAGTATAAATTTTATATGTAACTCTTACGAGAATCTGCTTACAATGATTATTTTGGTCTTGTCCATTGAAATATTACAATTCATCTTTCATAACTGACTCGATCTTCTGCTTATTGTAAACTTTTGCAAGCAAGCTACGAGTGCCTAACTTCATTGTGACGTTTTTCTATTAATACCTTTCTCCGCCAAACGTTCAGGGAATGAGTATGTATTTGATTTTACAATTTGTAGAATTTGGTTTCCTAGGAAACGGGCTACCTTTCATGCAAAGTTATCACATCAGATATGGGGATTATAATACTATTACGTGATATAATCTGTACACTTCATTTGATAACCTATTAAGATTAACGTTTTTAACTAATAAAAATTATCAGTCAAACTATTCAGATATAGAATACAAAAGATCATGTTTTCTTATAAAATTGCAATCGCTTTTCTTAGATTACGCTAAACTGTCAGTTTATGAGTAGCTAAGGGTGTAGAAGTAAATGTTCTCAACACCGATTATATGCAACATAAATCAAGACCTCATTCCAAGCTACTTTAGTGGCAATAGACCATAATGGTTGTCAACATTGTTTTCTATATATAGCTTCTGTTCTTCTTGCGGGCAAAATATGAGCCGATGAGTAATGCTTACAGCGGATCAAAGGTTTATTTTCTAAAAACAGTTTCTAATACCGCCGGCATAAGGAAAACGTACTGTTCTTGATAACGAAAAAGGACATACGACTAGATAAGAAGAATAAATCTATGCTAACAAAATTATTTAGCAAAATGTTGCTTAAATAAATTATTTATACAACAATAATAAGCATTGAGAAAATTATAATGTTTTCGTTTTAATTTACAAATGATTTAATTAAAATCTAATATAGGGTATAAGAGCAAAGCTAAAAGTTTTGAAATAATTGAAATATAATTTATCTATTATAAAAATAAAATCACACAAATTATTTAAAATGCATATAAAACCTCAATATATAAACAAATTCAACAAAAATAAAACAAAATACAAAAAAAAAAAAAAAAAAAAAAAAAACACACAAATAATAATGACAAGTCCATAAATAAATAGCAATGTTGTAAAAAGAAAAAACAAAAAAAAAAAAAAAAAAAACTGAAACAATATTATAATATGTGTGTATGCTGCAACAACAATAAATAAAACCTCAAAAATTAATTAGCAGTACGTGTTGCAATACAAAAGTAAATTAATTAATTGGTATGCATTTTAAATCAGAGGAAAACAATTATAAGCAAAAGAACTAAAGGGGAGATATACAACGAAACTCTTAGTGCTCCCTACATATTTTTAGATCCTTGCATGAGATTAAATTTTACATTTTCATATAAGAAAACCTATTGCATTCACCTTGGGACGCATTTTGAATACCGACAACTGAATGTAAGAAAGTCGTCGGCTTTATTCGGAAAGGTACATTAATTGGCCGACTTAAACTATTTGCAAACGAATTCGTTGTGCGAACGAACTCTGTCAAAGGTCTCTTAGCACTTTCTGTTAAACTTCCAGTCAATATCTCTTCTTAATTATAATAGATTTTAGATTATAATTCATTGAAAGGGTCAGGTATTTTCAATTTTTCTACCCTTGCACGCTGACTCAAAAGTAATGAAAAGTTAACGAATTGCAAAATGTGGAACTAATAGATGGGTGCACAAATCGAGTTTCTGATGAGTGATAGACTAAAGCTATATTATTTAAAATGTAAGGATAATTGGAGAACAAATGCGTAGATGGGCAAATAGACAAATGGCTGTGTGGAGAGTTATGGAAATATTGGAAGAGAACCAGCATGCAGATAAATGTGCAGACACACAGGGAGATGGACAACCCAGAAACCTTGTAGAGAGAAAAACATGGACAGGTAGACGCAAAAGCATATGTACCAACACACGTTTAGATTTGCAAGCGGGTTTCTGCTTTCGTGATTTATACGAAGAGGCGTCATAAGACTACACGATATTAAGTTTGTTTTTCATTGATTGTAAAGCAATTTATTGTCAATTAAGAATAATAATAATAATCGTAACAGTATTATTATAGCATGCGGTCGTTATAAGCTGTAAAAAACACAAGTGAAATTTATCATTGCTTTTACTTTTAATCTTGTTGAAGTTTCCTATGCCTTTCCTAAACGAACTTTACCTTGCCTTAAAGATAACGAGTAAGATAATCGTTCTACATAGTTTTGATTTACAGTTTAAAAAAGAAAAATAATAATAACAAATTGCAAAACAAGCTTATATAGTTATACTATTGTTTAGTTTACTTTAGTTTGTATTGATGCTTTAGACTTGTGATATAAATTTCAAGGAATGAAGAAGAAATTAATATAGCTTTGAACAGCTATATCATCCGTAGAATTGATCGAACTTTCCCTTCAAGTATTCGTTAACAAAATCTAAGCATGTTTTTCAAAAAGTAGTGAAATGTGATTATTTGTATGCTTTAGGAAATAAATGACATTTCAAGGAAATACGAACATATGTAAAAATTTTGAGAAATTGAAGTACTATTATTACTATTATTATTATTATTATTATTGTAATTAATTTAGCCAGAGAAATAAATTCTAAGAGTAAAGTTTTAAGCACTAGCATCCAAGGCTATCGGTTTCATTGAAAACTCTTCCACACTTCATTACTGTTATACTCTATTGACGCAAGATTTTCTTATTGTTTTGAAATCAATAGCACTTGGTTTCAATTACTATTGTACTGAGGGATAACGGAAATGAAAATATGAACAACTGCCTATGATGTCCTGTGCATATAGGAAAAATTCTATTTAGACAGTCCTGAGATTTGTCAACATTCAAATCAAGTCATGTTCCAAAACTTATTCGAGCCATAACATACACATAAGTCCGATAAGCTGTCGCTCATCGCTTTTTGGGATGATAACGTTGCCAGACAACCAAACATTGCTGTAGCATTGATATATACTGAAGCTAATGTGACAAATGGAATGACAAGTTTATTAAACCCCTTCTTCTCGGTAATGGGTGTGAAAAAAAAATAAAAAATTGTATATATGCATATATTTTATGCGATAAACAAAGTTGTTGAAATATTATTTTAAGTACTCAATGATGCAATAACAGGTAAGTGAAGTTCAAACTATTCATAGAAAAAATTAATAAGTAGAAAAAACAAAAGAGCAAAATAAAATATGCATACATAGCCGTATACGGTTTCAGTTCATGTTTAGTTAACTGTAATGCACTGTATTTTAACCACAACAATAACGATAATAATAATAATTGTAATTACGATGAAAGCATAAATAATACAACAACAAAAAACAAAAAAAAAAAGAAAGTGCACTGAAGCCATGTTCATGTATATTAATGGGAATTTTACATTAATCTTTTAACCACAGCCATAAGTACAATATAAAACATTTAATTTCAAATAGCAAACTGATTCGTTTTTTTTGTTTTTTCTCAAGTAGCGTTAAGCCTCAGGATTCCAGGCAGTTTCTTTATGTCAATACAAATATTTCACCATATCTGTGGGGGCGATGTTGAATAGATTAGATAGGGCTATCATAGATTGTGAATGGTTTTGTCATATGTTTCGGGAGGTGCGTCATCTCTAGTTGATAGAGATTTTCTTTCAATAAGTTCAATTAAGTTTTGCAGCACTGAGAGACCTTTACTTAAAGCTAAAAAATTTTATGTTTTCAAACTGAAAAAGGCGCGGGTGTTTCCATTAAAGCAGAAAAAAAATTATAATTATATTCTACTTACCTTTCGCATTTATCATCAAGCGAGAGAAAAGTCTTCGCTGCCAAAATACATTCGGGTGCTCTTCAAACATGTGTGTTCTTACTGTACTTTCTTCATTTGTATTGCAAAAATCGAGCGAGTAGCAAAGCATAGGCAATAGGCAGCAATAAACGTAAACTTAAAGACTCAAGGCTGATTGAAACTTAACGAAACGAACGAAACAATTAGGAAGCAAATCTACATATCGCTCTATCAAATCAAAATTGAGAGAAGAAAACCCTTCAGGCGCGTTAAGAAAATTTTACAGAACACGATAAATAGCTGAAAATCTTATACGAAAGGGAAGGAGCGATGGAATTTGATAACTCTCCCCCGTCTGACATTATGTGCCAATCAGATTCGTCCGCCAATTTTGATGATTTGAATGGCCTGCATTCAGATACATCGGTAAATTCAACTTGTAACTCGCAACCAAATGAACGCAACGCTATTGCTGACGGAATAACTAATCGCCAAATCGGCAATAGTAAAGCTGTCCACAAAAATTGCGATTTGAGTGCACATGAATTGGGTTTAAACGGAAGATTTGTTACGGTCTTAGATCAGTTGGACGCTCGAGTTGAGATATTACGTAAGGATGCATTGAAATTGCAAGAGAAACGTGATTTCTTACATATGTCCATTGATTTAATAAAAAGCAATGATTTAATGCAAGACTTAGCCGATTCGGAACGCGAAGATATCGATTGCTATTTACAACGAGTTACCGCTCGCTTATCAACCGTTGAACTCAATGTACGCACTATACGTGATTATTCGCAAGAGGATTCCCTTAACAAAATCAATACTTTGATTGATTTGATGATTACTATGGGTGATCCGGTTTTATCGCGGCAACGCTGTCAACTATACTTGAATGCCTGTTGCAGTGTCGACGAATATGTTAACTTTACTGACATAGATGCCGATATAGATGAGTGTAAAATGAACGTTGACGTAGCTGCTGGTCACATAGATAAGAAATTCGAAAGTGTTTTGCTGGGCTGCACTTTGGACGATCAGAAGAATATAAAGAAACGTTTGCATGCGCTAATGGGTTATCTTAATCAACAAATCATCAATCAATAAACAGATAAAAGCGCAAACGATTAATTCATCAGCGTACGTTAGACTCGTAGAATTGCTATTTCATGTTTACGATTATAAATTGAAATCTCATGATAGCACATTCTTAGCCATAGATACATGTACTCTATTATACCTTAGAGGCTTATTCTTTCTCCTAAACCTATTACGAAAGCATTCGCAAATTAAATGTGAAACAAAGAGATGTATCGTCTTTTTTTTTTTTTTTTTTTTGAATTCTCTTTATTTAATAACTAACTCATTTTTAAACAACGCAACGCAACGTAAATGTTAACAATAAAAAAACATATTCTTGATCAGCGAAATCGAAATATATTCAAAACATGATATTGAAATTATTATAATAAATAGTGATAAAATTCGCTTCACTATATTCGTAATAAGTGTGGAATCCGCTCAGCAGACCGCCTACAATAAATTGAAAATGTTCCCTATTCGATGGACGCAAAACTTTTGTAGGTCGATCTGAAGGATCAGTGCAATAATAATATGCTTTCGACCGCTCGCTTAATGTGCTGAGTATTTAAGAGGGAGCTTACTTCCTCGGTTATTTCACCTTGGATCGAATTTTTTCATCAATTTTTAAATTTGATTTCGGGATTTTACCTTGCTTTGACATCAGCTCGACTACTCTAATCAAAGTTTTAGAAAGAGGTGAAGATTATTATGGGATTTTATTGAACGCAGACTTGTAGAGCTTAGTCGACGAGTTGGAGATCTTCCTCCTTTTTGCTAACTTTTTGATCTGAAAAAGTGACGATTTCGGTCTCCATACCAATTGAAAAAGTTTTCATTTTTAATACTTTTTTTCAATGGTCTATCACCGCTATTCATCTAATACGCTGACGACCAGAAACAAGAAGAAGCGAAGAAAAGTAAAGATATAGGGAGGTGACGATAGCCTAATGGGGGATTGTGTTATGGCTTTATCGACTGAACACTAGCTAAAGCAAACTCTACCGTACTGAGTGTTGGACCCGCGAACAATAGTCGCGGTTCTTACTCTTCTACTTTTACGAATATTTAAAATACACGTATATAGACTGCTGCAATTAGAAATTTAGCAAATTACTTTACTGATTAGATTCTTGTAGCGAGAATCATGCAGCTGTTCATCTTTGATTTTAAATTAAGTGATTAAACAAAAGAGTTAAGCCGAAACTATAAGAACGCATTATGTAAGCAAAAAATATGACATCGATTATCGGCTCTTTGAGATGCTTGCAAATTAAATAAAAATATCATGTTAAGTATCGCCTGTGTACAGATAAACGCAAGTATGTTAATGCACACATAAAAATAATTTGTCTAAAAGTCATCTGATTGACGGCATTGTAAATCAGCTGCTCGAGGTTAAAAGCCGACAACCAATTCCCTCTAGGTTTAATTTATTGTTGTCGTGTCAAAAATAAGAAATAGAGATAGAGATAGAGAAGGTACTTAACCAATGTAAAGCATAGAGCAAAGAAAGAATAAGAGGAGCGGGGGGAATTCTATTTTTTAAACTTTTCATAATTAAAAGCGAACCCACCAAGAATGTTTAGTTTTGAACGAAGGTCGGATCGGCAAGAAATATAAAATACAGTTTCAGACCGAGGATATCGCCGTTCTGAAGGCAAAGCATATATAGGCAAAAATGACCTGCATTACGCATTTCTGTAGCCTAGAAAGTCTCGTACATAACAAACACTTTACGCACTCTTCAGTTGGGATGTGAAGAATAAATATTTATTATTATATAAATTTTAGAAATATTAAATGAAACATATATTAAACACCACATTAAAAAAATAAGGACAACAAATAATGTAATTGATGATAAGTGTCAGTATTTTATGTTTCAATAATCAAGCTGCTGCTGCTGCTGGTGCTGCTACTGCTGCTCTGTATATTGAGAACGATATGGCGTCTCTTCAATATATCAATCAATAAAAAGTTATAATCTCATTGCATTTTCAAAATATGAAACCACGGTTGGCCACACGAACACATACACAAAAGCAACAGCAATAGGAAAAGTAACAACAACAATAACGGCAACTAACAATTGCTGACCATAAACCATGAATTATGAATGCCAGGCTGGAAAAGTAAAAAGTATGAATTTACACATGCATATGTAAGTGACTTTGTTTATGTGTTAGAGCATATGTTACTAAGCTTATAAATGACTTTACAATGGCCAAAAATTTTGCAATGCCATGCCTATCGGGAGAGATGACGGGGAGAAAATTTGTGCTTTTGAAAATTCAATTAATTTTCAATTATAAATATTTAAATACATTTCTATTTTTTTTTTTTTTTTTTTTCTATATATATATTGTGTTCTAGTGTTAGTCTTGGTTTATAATATGTAGATGCACTTGCAGAAATATATAATAATTTAAAACATATTTTTGATATATGGGTTTATAATATATATAATCCATTTTATTTAATAATATCAAAAGCAATTTCGATGAGATAAGTTATGGCCAATAAATTAAGTTCATCTTTATCATTTAGTCTAAAGTTCTGAAGATTTCATTTCCAAATCGAAATTCAAGGGAAATGTCACGAGTAGTAAATCGATATATGCACGTCCCGTAAACAGGTATAAGCTTCTGTTACTACGAAAGAAGAAAAAAAAAAGAGATGTTGTGCCACTCTTCTTTATATCTTTATATATGTACATGAACGAGTTTTGTAATCTGGGATATAAAAGGAAAGAAAGGCAGCCATTTTTCGCCAGCCCTTGTCTCATTAAATTCAATTGCGGGCTGTTACGCTTATCTCAAAGTCTACTCAGTGACAGCTGCATGCCAAGGGACTGTGCCTCTAGAGAAATCTAAATGAACTCATGGCGTTGATCTATTGATGATGTTCGCGCAACGACATACAATGCTCGGACTTGCATGGCAGGTTCAAATAAATGCCCGACTTACTCAGTAGAAGACCTCCTACCTGAAAATATCATCTTTTCAAAATATATTTTTAACAACGCTATTCAAAAGTTTAGTGCAACGGTGTAGCTTACCGGAAAACTCATACATCAAAGTTTCCTTATATTGTCTTAATTGTGGTTATTAACAAAAAGAGTTGTTCGAAAAGAAGAACTTAACTTTCTTAGGCATTTCTTCGAAATAAAACCGAGAATAATTATATTCCGCTTGGGCCGCTTGGAGAGCTTCAAACAATGCGAGCACCCTAAACAAAGTTTTAGCAAATGTACATTATTACAATTCCTTTTTAAATTTAGTTAAAAAGCGACTAGAGTTGATGACTTTGTGCCTGTCTGTAGACAGCTTTTCGGACTTGAAGTATACCTCAATTAGGGTTTCATGTTCAGAGTAAAAAAAACAAATAAATACTTCATTAGGCCTAATTTGGTAAATATAGCACACTTAGCAACCCTAGTCGGGAGAAAAATTGACAAACGAAGCTAGTAAGCCGAGTGTTCTTCACACATATCTTGCTGTCGATAGTGTTAGTATAGACCTTCGCTAGGTTATGTAAGTATTTAGAAAGTTTTCTTATTGGTTCGCTTATGAATCACGTTTGTGTTATAGGGCTTTCTGGTAATAGAAGTAGACATTGGGACCATTTAGACTTATTACCATAAATAGATAGTTCGGTAAGCTTACTGAAAGTGTGCCGCGGCTTCGGAATTCCTCAGGTGAGTTTGATTTTCAAAACATTATTTGAAAATTTGTTAAAATAACATTTGGGATTCTTGTAAAAGATATATTGAGCAACTAATTAGTTGAAATTATGCGTTTAATTTAATTTAGCCATATTTAAGTACACTATTTTTTTCCATTTCTTCTCTTTTGCGCAGAAAAAGTTATTTTTTTAAGTAAATTTGCTTTTCGCCCGTTTAGCTTTTCGAACCGTCCCAATATAATAAACTAAGGTAAAACTTGTGAGATATTCTCTCTTTGGTTACCCAAGGATAGGTGAAATTTTAATTGACGGTGTGTGCATACAGCTTACCCTCTAATAATAATAATAACAGTTATATCAATAAACCAGCAATACTTTTTTTTCATAATATCTATAACAACTCTCTCTGCCATTATTGTTTGAGTGATGAAAAAACCTGTTTTTTTTTTTCTTTTATTTATTAGATCATTCATTTTCATTCTCTATTTCGTGAGGAAAGCTGAGATGGGACATATAACCTGATATAAGACAGACTATCATTTAGTCTTCATAACTGCGAATGTTTTAAACAAAGTGGGAATAACACAGCAGAGTTTTCGGCCATCTTCAAAATCTTTGAAAAAAAATCGGTGCGAGGTTTTTTGTTTACCGGAATGCCGAAAATTGATCACCTAATTAAATGAATGATCTGTTTTATAGGCACTATCTTGCTGTCGCACATCATAACAAATACACGTGTTCATCAATTGCAAAATAAAAAACAGTTGCAAAAAACAGTTGCAACCTTACCTCATACGGTAAGGTTGCACATAAACTCTTCTAAATTATGGACTACCTGCAAACGCATTTAATTCGAATCGGCTCAGACAACTGTAGATCCGTTGTGAAACCACAATCAATGTAAAGTAATCGTTCGCTTGTAAAGTACAAACGGGACAGTCGACCCGGAAAAGTTGAAAATACATTAATTTTTATATTCACATTAGTTTAGGGGAGTCAGTCGAAAATGTGCCTTGAGAAGAACCAAAGTCAAGGTCTCTGCCGTCTTATTTTATTTGGATCTTGACAGATTGTACAGGCATTATGGTAGGATAATTATGAAATTTCCACTAAACCTAAAGGGGGCTACACGCCTAATTTAATGTTAAACTATAATGTATGGGTAGATATGTTCAATAGTTGCTCGGCCAGTATTGAATTTATGTCCGATATTAGTAGTCAACAAATGGCGGTAGGAGACGCTATAATTCTTTCTGGGCACAACAGCGCGTAACTGTGTGGTGGATACAACCTGGACAAATGTAAAGAAAAGGAAAATATAATCTCGATATTGCCCTCAC